ACTTTTATCACACTCAAGGCTTTAACTAACTGACAATTACCACTATTACTTTTCCCCCAAAATTTTTACTAGTTCTGTTGCTGAGTACTTCGTTGCCCTTATCCTTCTAGAATAAGTGAACATAACAGCAGGCTTAGGATAGTTTTCTGCTTTTATGAGTGTTGTACCGTGGTAATTATTCATGCTTACTTCTTGCTGCATTCTTTCTCTCGATTCTCCTTCCTTGATGTAGCCATAATCTGTTTGGGGTTTTTTCCTGAGCATAAGTTGGGTTACGGTAGGCGAGTGACATCCAGTGTAAAACTTTGTCACATCCCATGACATGAGCCAAATAATATTTTTGTGGGGAAGTTCCCTACTCAGGGACGTGCCACATTGCCCGCATGTGGTGTCAAATGGGCAAGGGCTTGACATTGGGGCTACCCTACTGCAACTCCTGCACTTCCCAGAACCGAGTGTAGTGATAAGTATGCAAGGGTTAGATTATTGCCCGGAAGCAACGCGCCACATTGCACGAGTGTGGTGTCAAATGATCAAGGGCTTGCAGTTAGGGGCACGAGGGAGCGTGGTTTGAGTGAGCGTGTTATGAGGGAGTGTGTGCGGAAGGATTCTAGTCTGCAGATTGGTTCTTGGAATGTGAGGTCTCTTGCGGGGAAATTGGCAGAAATTGGTAAATGTGATGAAGAGCAACGTGTAAACATCATGTGCTTCCAAGAGACAAGGTGGACAGGAGAAGGAGCTCGAGGATTGATTTTTGGGTATAAGGCGTGGTACGTTGGACAGGAAACGAGCCACATGACTAGAATCGGTGGAGCTAGGAATGGAGTTAGTGTGATACTTGATGAGAGGTTGTCGAAAGAGGTAATCAAGGATAGGATGATTCCTGGTGGAGCTAGGAATGGATTTTTGTAGCTAGTCTGTCACTCTTTACTTTTCATAATCTAATATCATAAGTTATTAATTACCTTTGTGTCTTGTTTTGAATAGCTTACAAAACCATAGAGCTTGGACCAAAGCTTTAGTAGCATGATTCTGCCAATGAACATGTATATTTAGTCAAAGCGATGACCCATCTCTAGGGAGAGAATGAAGAGTAACTCTGGAAAAGTCGGATCTTCTGAAAACCTAGATATTCCACTTGACCTTCTTTTCCTTCCTCAAGTCACCTTCCATGACTCAAATCTTCAAGCAAATAATCAGTGTTTAAACACAAATACACATTGGTCGCAATCATTAATTTGATATAGTCATAATCTGAATGAATTCTCCCACTGTTTTGGTTTTTTCCTTAGTATAAATTGGGTATGTTTCTTAATTTTATACCCACAACACTTTCATGCCAATTTTTTTTCAGATCCCAAATTTTGGTATCTATTCTCTTCAAATGAAATCCCAAGACTTCCCTATGAGTAATCGCCTATTTCAATTTGCTCTCCTCAAATTTTTTTTTTTCTTCTTTTTTTGACCTCTATGATCTTGATCCATGTCGCCTGATCCTCTTTTATTTCTCCTGCTTTAATTTGTCATCTCTGGCAGTAAATCCCCTATTCAGATTATGGGGATTTGAAATTATTTTCTCCCCAATTTCCATTTTGGGGGACTTAAGGGTTCTTGCTCTCAATTGTGAATCCATGTCGCCTGATAGGGTTTGTTGGATATTCTTCAAATGGGCACTTCTATATAGTTATGGGTTCATGTCTTCTGAAGAGCATAGGGCTTATTGCATATTTCTGATGGATGGGGGATTGGGGGTTATCAGGGAGCTCTTTACTCTTATGCCTCTGTTTGGTTACTATATGCTTCAATTCTTCCTGATGTTGATAAATCTATTTTGTGTGTATACATATATATATATATATATATATATATATATATATATATATATATATATATATATATATATATATATATATGAATATATATATGAGATTATGTCGGATTATTTTTCTTCTTAGGAATTTGTTGTCTTCATATTTTGTTGAATTTTTTACATTATCATATAAATTTTTGTACTTCTGTGTATGTATATTTTTATGCTCATGCTCCTTTGCCCATTAATATTTTTTATCTACATGGTCTTCTGATTTTTTTTCCCTAGAGGGAAAGGTTTTTCGTGGTTGTATTAATTGAAAGCTTGGCTTGTTATTTCATCTTTTTATTTCTTTGACCTCATGATGCTGAGTGTCTTATCAAAGTTGTGGTGGATACTTTTCTATATTGTATTAGATCATCCTTTTATGTGTTCTTTCACCTCTTGATAATGTTGTTTACTCAAGTTGTTTTATCTTGAATGTGAAACTAGCCTATGTATGGCTTCTGACCTTAGAATATGATGAGATCATTCTTCAAATACATCTTGTTGCATTTGGTATGTTTGATATTTTTTCTCAGATTGCTTTTTTTCAGCCTCCATGTGTCATTATGTTCTTCTCCTCTTCTGTTATCGCTTGTTTGTATTCATTTTTCTTTTTTATGTTTGCACTTATTCATTCTCTCATGAAGTTACAGTATCTTTATAATCCTCACTAGGTCGCTTTGTAATGTTACGATGATGCTCCTCTAGTCTCTTAAGATATTGGCTGCACTATTATCTGTTGGCCTGTGTTTTGCTTAATTTCCTATTTTCACGGTTCTTATATCTTGGCGCTTTTGGTATATTGATTCCCTTGACTTCTGTCTCTGTGTCATTGAGTCTTTCTGTAAGCTTTTCCTTGGAGTATCTGTATATGGGTATTGTGGGATGTTCTGAGCAAAGGTTGACAATTTGCCTGTTTGGGCTCTTTATGTATTTTTCTTTGTGGTTTTCGCTAATTTTAAAGTATAATAACTCTTCCTGATTTATTTTGTTATGATTTTTATTTCTGCTGACTCTTCTTCTTGTCCCTCTCTATTTCAGGTTCCTTCTTATGCTTGTTTTACTTTCTCCTCTCCTGAAGTATCATTTGAGGATGCTCATGTGCTCACTTTTGTCCCTTTTTGGCGCGCTTCAGTTTAGTTGGGATTTTGGTAACTTTTAGCTATGGAGTAATTCTGTTTCTTCTGGTTTTTTGTTTGTTTATTTCCGTTTTGGAAATGCTCTAAATTTCATTGCCTTTTTTGTTGTTTATTTGTTTTTTTTTGGGAAAGAAGCCTTTTTTGTTAATCTTTCAAGCAATTGAGAGGTTTGTAATTTTTTTACAGAGTAAGCAATTACATACTTCTTAGCTACTTTCTGCCACTGTCCTCTGCAGATTTTTTTATGCCACGAGCCTTGTTAGGCCTTTGACAATGTAACTTTGGATACTATCGACGTTTTCTTTGAATATGCCAAATCCGGAAATTTCTCTGCGTATCTTGCCGAACATAGTCAAGTATGCTAAGGTAGACTAATTTGATCAACACCTACAACCTGCAACAATTCGACATCAGAGAAATCAAATTTAGCTCAAATTAAGAGGTCCAATTACTAACACAAGTTTAATTGTCATGGGCATCATAATGAATCAGATAAAGATGTGAAATTTCAAGATTAATATTTTGGAAGAAAAAAAATTTACCTTCTCCCCAAAAAAAAAACTCGTTGTAATGTCTAAACCCAATGATTTCCCGGTCTATTTAGACGTTAAAATAAAAATGCCCCAAAGATTAATATTTTGAAAGAAAATAAATCCAAAATTTTTTGCATGATCCCAGTTTACAATAATTTTTTTTGTACAACGAACATTTTGCGAAAAGTGACCATTTTTCTTACAAAAGTGACCATTTTTCTTACAAAAGTGACCCATATTTTTACAAAAGTGACCCTTTTTTTCACAAAAATGAATTTTTTTCCCAAACGAGTGACCTTTATTTTCACAAAAGTGAATTTTTTTTTTTCACAAAAGTAATTAAGCTACATATGCAAAACAGAGTATCAAAACAACAAAAATAAATACAAAATTAACAATAGTCACAGAAAAACAGTACAATCACTCAAACAAATCAAAAGTCGCCGCCATAACCACCGCTAACGACGTCAAACCATAGTTGATTCCACCATTTCCGACCATCTCACCGAGCAAAGCGATGACGATGATACAACTTTTTCTTCGAGCTCACTTTACCTTCTTTCGACTTCAAATCTTCTCTCTCCACTCCTTGCTCAAAAAATTCACCAGAAAACTTCTACAATTGGTTAAGAAAAGATACTCGAACATATACCTTGAAATTGGTTAAGAAAAAAGATTAAAATAGCAAGATCAATACTATAAATCAATGAAAAACAAAGAGGAAGAAGGATAACAAATTATTGTGTGCTTTGTTCCTTTAAAGAAAAGGGAAGGAGAGAGAAAAAGAATAGTAGAGGAGAGAGGAGAAGAAGTGCATAGGAGAAAAAAAATTATCCCTTAAAGAAGAGTGAGAAAGAAAATTATAAATTCTAAATGGAAACTTTGCTTGAGTTGGGCTGATTTACACTAATATAACTGCACATCCGATTTTTTTAATACTTTTTACCTTCTCCCCAAAAAAAAAGAAAAATGCTTCAATAATTAGTACTTGTTTTCGAGAGAGTATTTATCTTACAATCATAACCTAAGGATCTGTTGAAAGATGAAACACAAATCCTTCACAACATCTGTTGTTTTCGAGAAATTGAAAGTGGACTTTTTTCTATCATTATTAAAAAAAAAAAAAAAAAAAGGGATTATATCAGTTTGCAGGATAGCTTGCAAAGAAGTAATAAGACTAAGGAAAAGGTTTGGGTGGCAGACGAGAAACCGATAAATCATCCCTCACTAGTCTTTTTCTAGAACGCTTTTCATTTTCAATTGTTTTATGTAAATGAAAGTGTAGAAGTTTATTGAATGTAAAGCTCCAATGGCACTTACATGAAATTCTTATATGACAGTGCAATAAAGAATATGGCATTGAGAGCTTGTATCATCAATTCATGATTCATCATCCTATATTGTCGTTAATATAGAGCACCAAGCATCATCCTAGTCTCTTGATTCAGAAGTTTCGAAAATTCACTCTCATCATTATGCATCATGACCTTGTAAACACGAAGGTCTTTTCATTGCATAGTAAACAATAAAACAATTGTTCATCAACCTAATTGAGTGGCCAAACACCTCAAGAGGACTGAAAGAGTGAAAGTTAACAAGTGTTACAGTGTAAATGATCATCACTGCAAAATATTGCATCACCCACCCATTACATCCTATAGTTCACTTAGTACCTTCAAAACAACTACTTAAAAGGTATTATAAGGTTCTAGGCATTTAATATCAGTAAATTATCTACAAAAACATCACTGATAGTTTGGTCCATCTCTTCCAGGGACATCTTGCTGATAGGCACCAGGAGGACCTTGCTGCCCTCCCATGTTGCTGTTCTGTGGAGCATAGTTCTGAGGCGCGTTCTGATAAGGCATCCCTCCACCTGGTTGTTGGTTTGGCCTGGTGTTGCCTGCATAGCCAGGATTCCCTTGACCCCCATAGTTAGGAGGTGGAGCATTCCCTTGACCCCCATAGTTAGGAGGTGGAGCATTCCCTCTGTTCTGTGCATATCCTGGATTTCCATAACCAGCATTGTTCGGTGGTGGCATGTTCTGCCCATAACCTGCATTGTTGGGTGGTGGCATGTTCTGTCCATAACCAGCGTTGTTGGGTGGCGGCATGTTCTGTCCATAACCAGCGTTGTTGGGTGGTGGCATGTTCTGGGCATAACCAACATTGTTGGGTGGCATGTTAGGTGGCGCGCCACCAGTGTTTGGCGGGCCTCTTCCACCCTGTTGTCTTCTGTCAAAGTTCCTAGAGCGATCGGCATTTCTAGGTCTATCATTGCGCCTGTTTCGCTCCTGTGCCTTTGCATTGTTCCTTACCCATTCCTCATGGTACTTAGGATCATATGGAACAGCTTGACCATCGATAAATGGTTCCCCTGTCAAGAATGCCACAAAAGATCAAAATATTGCAGTAAACAACATTTATGAGTCAGATACCTAGAGCATTTCCCCAATGAAGTGGATACTAGCTTTACCTTTTTTGGTGTAGAAGAAAGAAGAGGAAGGGGGGGGGGGGTGGATGAGTACTGTGTGGAAAGGAGAGGCCATATCAACCAATAATGTATAGCACCATGCAATGGCAAAAGCTAATACTTCCACCATTTGCTTTTAGTTGCAACGTTTTGAGCTTTAAACTTGTCAAAGCATAATTTCAACTTTAAAAATCTCTAATTACAGAAGTACATATATAACAGTTGATATAATGTAATTTTAAAAAGGAGGCCAAATTGAAAACATGAATAGTGCAAATTTCCAAACGTCAACAAAAAGAGTAGTGAGGAAGTATATAACATTAGAAAAAAAGATGGAACAAGCAATACAAGAACAGCGAACAAATGACATGTTACTATGGCCTTGTAAATTTGAGCAACATAGTGTTTTAGTGCTACAAAGAAGCAATTTTGTGCAATAATCCCAGCTCCAATAACCAAAGGGATGGGGACAAGGGGTGAGGGTTAATCGAATATAGGTTAACAGCAACACAAGTATTTCAAATGTCAGTTATACAGCAGAAATTACTTAAAGCTATCAAATTCATCGATTTCTTACCTCCGTAATCTTTGTTTTTGACATCCAAGTACGAGTCAGGGAGGACCCAACGCACATTGGGCAACTCTGCAAAAATCAAAGGATCCAAACCATAAGCTTTTCAAAACATAAATACTTTGAACACTGGATAGGCTTTTAAGCAACAAATGCCAACCTTTAAGTTTGTATGTTAATTCCTCAGACACCAAGGCTCCAAACGCAAAGTAATGTCTGGTTGAGACAGAGTATATTTTCATCCTTGCTTCTTCCTCACTGAAAATTCAATACATCATATATTGAGAAAAGAAAGCAAAAAGACAAACAGATGTAACAATCAAAGCAAATACCACATGGAGCAAGAATAATATACAAGTACATATCATGCAATAAAAATGTCACCTCCCAATCAGGTAAAAAGCGAACAATAATGAATAAATGATACTCTTGTGGTTGCACACATGAATAAATTCTCACACTTTACCCCCATCAAATCTATTTTCAAGTATGCAGCTCTCATCTGTCTACTATTACAATACTCTAGCAAGAGGCTTGCATTACAGGTATATCAATAACTACTTCAGGAACAAGTACGCATATAAGGAGGCACAAAACAAGCCAACAATTACAGCACTTAAATTCAACCAACGCAGCAGCACCTCTAAAGAAGCAACATAACAAAGGTTAGATCTAATAACACAAGCTAATCCTTACTGCATTTTTAAAAAAAATGAAAAAAATAATTAAAATGAATAAAAAAAAAAACCAGAACAAAATTGCTCCGAAATGTAGAAAGCTGAAAGAGCATAAATAACCATCAAATAACCAGTAGTATTTAGTTATTTACATTACTGCACTCTGATGTCTAAACGCAAGATCTGGTAGATAAATCCTTGGACAAAGTCACTATTATGCAATCCAACATCAACCACCCTAAATAATTATGACTAATAGTACCATCCTTACAAGATTGCCTCCTACATTTCAAAATATATTGGATACTTAGCATTGATAAAAACAACAATAAAGCAGTAGATCAGTACAATTCATATACGAGTCTTGTCATATACTCCCTCTGTTTTTAAATACTTGCTACACTTTTCTTTTTCGGCCGTTTTAAAATACTTGCTCCATTTCCTTATTTGAAAATCTTTTACTATATTTAATTCATTTCTCTTACCTAGTAGACCTTTAAAATAACAAATGCCTAACCCAGAAAATACAAAATGGCATTCCTAAAATAGCAAACAATATTAATAAGGAGGTCAGCAATACAATCAAAGACCATTAATACAAGGAATCATATCAAAAACCAAAGTTAAATTGCATAACCCAGAAATGAAAGCAACAACCAGCGATCAACAAAATATCAAACAAAGTTAATGCCAAATAGTTCAATTGGTCACGACAAATTGAACCCAATCCCTCAAATCAAACCCCGTTTACATCACTACCTTTACGACCCGAAAAATATACCAAACACAAAACATCCATCCATCCATCATTTCCTAATTTATCTTTCAGTATATCGCAATCATATTCCAAAAATGCAAGAAATCTATTGATAAAAAGGGAAGAAAAAGAGGGAAAATACCTTCCAATAACTTCAGCTAGGGTTTTAACAAAGGAATCAATAATCTCATCTCTGGTAGCATTTTCAGGGGGAGACTCAGTAACAACAAGCCAATGCTCAAAATCACACCCATCAAGCAAGATAGTCTCTTTAGGAGGTCGATTAGACCAATTAGGGTTATTATCAGAGAGAGAATTCTGAGCCTGACGAGTGGCGAAGGTTCGGAAAGCAGTGGTGGTTAGAGCGGCGGGGTAGCGGTGGAGTGCGGCGGCGGAAGCGAGGGGGCGGAGGCGGAGGAGAGAGAAAGCGGCGGAGGTGGTGGTGGTTGTGGTGGAGGAGGAGAAGGGGCGAGAGAGGAGGAAGGAAGCGAAGGATTGTTTGGTGAAGAGGGTGCGAGAGAGAGGAGAGAGAATTCGAGGAGCCGCCATTGATGAGGGGTTTGGAGAAAACCCTAGAGGTTGAGGAAGAGGAGAGAGAAAATGGGATGGAAATGTGGATCAGGGGTTTTAAGAGGGTTTAGGGGTGAGAATTGAGAAAGAGAGAGTGTGTGATTAAAGGGTGTTTGTGTTTTGACTTTGTTTTCCTTTTTTTTAAAATGAGTAAAAATGGTAATGACGGTGGAATCTTTGCGATTTTTTCTACTATGGCTTTTCTCTTAGTGTAAAATCTCAAATGTAAATCCCCCGTTTAAAAAAAAAATAAATATATATATATTACCTCCGTTTTCTATTATGTGCACAAAAGGATATTATTTGTGAGATATAAAATATTCATTTGTTACACATAATAGGAAACGGAGGTAGTATAGATAAAGATATTTGGTCAATTTGAGAGTAACTTTTAATTTGTTATTATTTTAAATTCATGATTATATACTACAAAGATTAATCCGATTAATACGTAGTATAGTTCATTATAAGTTTTTGTATTATAAAATTTAGGGAAATTCTCACTGGTGAACTCCAATTACTTAATTTTACAAGTGGTAAACATTCTTAAAATTAATTGTCAATGGTAAACCCCAAATAGAATGAATAATCAATTGGTAACCTTAATAATGATTTAATCTAATTATTTAACTATAGTTAGTTTTTTTTTTTTGTAACAATAACATTTAACTACAGTTAGGTTTTTTTTTCATTTTTTTAACAATTATACTAAAATAAAAAAATTTAAAAATTTAACCACCCCTTCCCCCACCAACTGCCCAGCCCCTCCACCTCCTCTCGGCGGCCGACACCCTACCTAACCATCGGCAGCCGACGCCCCTACCCAACCATTGGCGCCGACGACTGTACTTTTCTCCCTTTCCCCTAGTTTTTCGGCCCCAATAACCCATTCGAAACCATCCTAAAAACCCGAAACCACCCTAAAATCCGAAACCGTAGAAAATGGGTAGAACGAATTTCGGGGAGGTTTTGGGTTTTAGAATGGTTTGAGGGGGTGATTAGGGTTTTGGGTGTCCGAAAAATAGGAGAGGGGTGATTTTAGGGAAGGGTTGGGGCGGATTTTGGGGCGGTTTGGGGTAGAGGTGGGTGTCGGATTAGGGAGAAATAATGGAGGTGGTTGTCGGATTTTGGGTCGGTTTGGGGTAGAGGTGGGTGTCCGAAAACAGGAGGGGGGTAATGTCGGGCGACGGTGGGGGAGTTCAGGTGTTTACCGGCCGAGGGTGGGGGATTTCGTGAGTCGCCGGTGGGGGCCTAGCCGCTGGCAAAGGGGAGAGGCTGCTGATTGGGTGGGGGAGGGGTTTGGTTTTTTTTTTTTTTAAAAAAAAACATTTTTATAATAATTTAAGTATTAAAAAAATAAAAATAAAAACTAACTAAAGTTAAGGATTTTTATTAAAATAACACTTATCAATGGTAAGCAATAATTTAGGTTTACCATTGATAATAAAAATTGAAAACGTTTACTACTTGAAAAATGAAAAAGTTGGAAATCACCAAAGAGAATTTCCCTAAAATTTATTATTAGAAAAATAATAGCTTTTGTAGTATATATTTTATATACTTTTAAGATAACTTTAACCCGTCTTACAATAAATTAACATACACCCGCCTTTTTGGAGAATTTGTACAATTGTAAATGATCTTCTACATTTATGAAAACGTATTAGTATTTAGCCTACAGGACGAACATGTTAAATTTGGCTAATTTTTGTTTATAAATTAAAGAATTGTACTATTAAGTATTTGGATTGTTCTTACAATTTTTTTAAATCTAAACATGTTAAATATAATTGCATTTTATTAGTAAAAAAAATGATACGTAAATGTATTGAAAAATTCTTTTAAAAAAACAAGGAAATAGTAAAAAATGAATTTTGGAAAGAAGTTTGAAAAAAAAAATGAACGGTAAAAAAAGTTGAGAAAATTTACCCTTTATTGCTCTCTTATATTCAATACCATTATTGTTTCTTGAAGTTTATATCGATCTTGACGGTAATATTTTTTTTTAAGCTATACTTGAATTATGTATTTGAGTTAACTAAACAAGTGGGCTCTCAATTGTTACATTTTTCATTCTTTGGGTACTCTAACCCAAATTCCGGCAACTTAACTCTCATCTAACTCACCTTTAACTATAGGTAAATAAATATTAATTAAAATTAATATAAAACAAAGGCATTACTTAAAGTAATCAATTTTCAAAAAAAAAAAAAAAAAAAGCCGTTGGAGGCTATTAAAACGAGTTCACAATAGCCGAAAAAAGCCATAAAATTATCCTTGCAAACAAAAGAAAACATAACAGTAAGCCAAAATTCAGAGCAAAAATTCTAGAAAAATCAACCCATCTTGCTCCAATTTTCCCTTCGGGTTGAAGAGCTGCAATAACAAAGTGAAGGTAGGAACATGGAATTCTGCCATTTATCAGAATAGTGTTGCAGAGTGTTAAATTTGGAAACAATATGAAATGGGCCTGGGCAACCCAAATAAGGAGGAGGAGAGTTTGGTCCACAAACAAGGGTTTGGAGCTTCCATACTAAAACCAATTGGCAATAGTAGGAGGTACTCCTCTACCTTATAAAGTGAAACCATCTCTCCTCTTTCTCCAATGTGGGACACTCATAAGTGGGTTACAATGGGTTTCAACACTTCCCCTCACTTATGAGTGTCCTTAGAACTTCAGAACTAACTGGATAAGGCCAGATCAATAATCCTCTTAGGGGCTGGACATCCTGTCGAGGTAAATCCTTATCCAGTAGCGATTAAATATCCAGTTTAGAAGAGACCCACAACCTTGGGCTCTGATACCATGTTAAAGGACCACCTCAACCAAAAGCTTAAGCTGATAGTTGAGGCCCAGGAATATGTTTTATACTCTATCACTCCCCCTCACATGAAAGGCCCTTTGGGCTTGAAATGTGGATGCAACACAGGCCCACCTATACCTGGTGCGAATTAATTCCACTTTGAAGGAGGGGAGGATGAGATTCAAACCCGTGACCTTTGTGTCACGCTGGCTCCGATACCATGTTAGAGGACCAACTCAACCAAAAGCTTAAGCTGATGGTTGACAGGCCAAACCATACTTGCTGCGAATTACAAATGCTTTAATAGATGCAATTATTTGGAATGAGTTGACATGCCTCATCCACTGGAATTGATGATTGAATGGTGGTGATGATTAACAACAAAAAAAATAATGGAACGGGACATGATCTATATAAGGAAGAAGATTCAATATCAAAGCTTTGTAATCATGCATTTTGCTATTAAGTATTGTTGGATTGAGTGTGTGGGTTGTACCTTCATAGTCTTTTAATAGTTTCATTTTGATGTAGTTGTTGCATAATTAGGGGTATGCCTTTGAGCTTGAGCTTGTATTTGGTGTTGCATTGAACATGTACTGATTTAAGAAACTTAAATGAATAAATAATCAAATTTTAAAGCTTATATGAGTTATACATACCCCTGAATGTGTTTCAAATCCATTTGGGTAGGTATAAACACCAATACCGCCCCATTTATGCATAGGCACATAAGCTTGTGATTCTTGCGTTGGGACATGTTGTCTTGGTGTTGAGGAACTTCCTAGTGCAATTTGACTTTGCTGAGTTTCTGTTTGTGTCCTCCTCTGGTTAGGCTACTTTGGTGGCTTGATACAGATAATTTTTTTATGTCCGAGTCCTCCACAGTTGCTGCATTTGTGAACCAAAACCTTTTTACCCAACCTAATACCCCCACTTTCACCCATATATGGCCTTCTCTTAGTGGTAGTTCTGTGGTTTACTTTTTTCAACACAGTGGTATGATTGGTAATTGTGATGTTTGTGACCATTCATCTAAGCCATTCAGGGGCTCTATGGGGTCATTGGAAAGCCTTTACGTAAGTTTCCTTGGTGAATCAGTGGGAAACATAGAGCTCAAGTTGCTCCATAGCTTTCCAAATAGCTGTGACTGCATGGTGACAAGGAACACCACTCCATAGCTTTCCAAATCCATTTCTGATTGCATCAATCAAAACAAATTCTTTCAAACATAACAAGCCTCATCTTGAACTTCACTTTATTCGATTTTTCTTAAGATTTCAGCTACATACCTAAGCAACAGAGAGTATTTCTCCTCATACTCTTCTATAATTAGTTGTTGAGCTTTCCTTCTAGCTTTAAGAGCTAGCCACAAACTGATTTTCAGATCACACCCCACTTTGTACATATAGTGTCAATTATTTCTTGACATTTCAAATAAGGATTCACCATGAACTTGGATTGATATGTCTTTGCAACCCAAGAAGCCCTTATTTTCTTCACCTTTGGTTTCCTACCACATATATGCTTTGCAAGTAAGGTTCTCACAACCATAGTGTCATTTTCATGTTGCATTGATGCCTAATTGTACCATGGGCAACCTTTGTCAAATGCCTTAGCTTACACTTTTCACCCTTCCTATTTCTTACATTTCTTGTATAAACTACATCCCTCCCTTGACTCACATAGTAATTAGTGCTAGCATTTCTAAACTCTTTAATATCTTTAAACTACTGCCAAGGGGAAAATGGCTACCATCATCATTTCTGACATTGACATTTAGGATATTCCTAGAGTGTCTTACAACCTTCTTTTTTTTTTACCTTAGGAGGTGTGGCTATGAGATTGCCACGATGCTCCTAATCTGAATAGGCAGGGCTACCAGGATAGTCCTCATCACTTTCACTTCCAGTGTTTTCTTCGCCTCAACACTGATCAGCTACCCTATCCTTAAGTCTAATGATGGATTTTGTTTCAACTTCAAGTTATTTCTCTACTTTTTAGCTACTTTTAATCTGTTCCCTAGAATTCACCGCCTCAATATTCTCATTATCACTCCCTTCATCATCATAATAAATCTCATCCACAACACCTATAGGTTCTCTAGGTTCTGTTACTTGGTTTTTACCTCCCACCACAGGGTTGGCTCTACCACCTAATAATGAGATGAATGTGCCCCTCCCATTAAGTTCATCCTCATTGTCTTCCTCATGTTCAACAAACACATCCATAACTCTATAAATGTGTAACAAGCTTAGAAACTTAACAAATGTGGCATCATCATAGCTTAAGAACCTCACTCCCACATCTACCCTCTTTAATGGATCACAATAGTGTAACTTACTAATGTATTCATACCCAAGAAAATCAATCATTTTCTTAAAATATGTGACATTCAAATCAGC